TTTAACGTCCAGCACAATCTAACTCAAAGCGCAATTTCCTGAACCGTCTTATTCAGCATCTGGCTCCTTCTCCATCTACGTCACATCTCACTACGTCACATCTCTCTCGAAGTACTAGGTGGCGCTCTGCAAGCATCATAGCTACCTTCCGGGATTATAGATCAGCAGGTCTTAGATCCCACAGTCTCGGTCATTCTGACCTTCATTGCGCCCTCGCAATGCGCTTGATCGACATCAGAAACAGACACATCAGGATAACTGCAATTAAAAGGGAAAAAAACGAGAGAAAAAAAACGAAACAGATACACAAACACAAAAAAAATGTCTTAGTTGGACCACGGTTTCATATGATCGGCTGCAGTTGCAGTCTGGAGCGGCCTTTCGTGAATGCCGACTCGTTCAACTTCATAGCGATCGTGCGGCTTGATGGATGTGACTTTATAGGGTCCAAGAAACTTAGGTTTCAGTTTCATTCCTGGAGTACACTGAGTTCGTTGGATCGCGACGAGGTCATTGATGGCATAAGTACGCGCGGTCTTACGCTTTTTATTAAACTGCTTTTCATTTTCCTGTTGGATCTTTAATAAGTTATTTTTTGTCTATCGTCCATGATGAAGTTTAAGTGTTCTTCTTCCAACAGCTCTTGAATTTTAGAATCTTCTTTGTTCTGCATCTTAATGCCAACCATCAGTTCAAAAGGTGTATATTTTGTACTTCGTGAGGTAGTACTGTTGATGATACGTTGTACATCTGCTACGTATGTATACCACTTTTTTGGGTCGTCTAGTGACAACTTAGATAATACAGGGAGAAAAGTTCCATGAATCCGTTCTATCTGGCCATTGCCACGAGGAATTCCAGTAGCGATAGTAAAATGATCTATACCTTCTGTTGCACAATAGTCAGAAAATTCCCTTGAGGTGAATGCACATCCACGATCAGTAATGATTCGGGAAGGATTACCAAAAATACTTTGTTGTAGTATTAATTTAGCTATAGCGTCTGTTGCTGAAGAGTATTTCACTGGATAAAACCAAGCGAATTTTGTGAAAGCATCTACAACCGCGAAAACATGAATGTAATTTTTGTTGGTGGGAGATCGGGATTCAACGAAATCGATATCGTAAGTATTGAGAGGTTCATTATCTTTCGGAATAGGGTTCAGTAGTCCTTTTTTGCCACGTTTTTTGTTTATTAAAATACAATCGGTGCAATTTGCAATTATACTATCAACTTTCCCTCTTAAGTGGGGAATATAAAAGTCGCTTTTCAGAATTTCCTCTGTTTTTTTCTGTAGCAAAATGTCCCCGTTGGTGAACATCTCGAATAATATCTACTTCCATGAGTTGAGGTACGACAAGCACAATTCTCGTCCTTGTTCATATTTATACAAAATATCTTCCTTTATTAAAAAATCACAGATTTCAACCTTTCTTACCATGGATTTATTTCCATCTTTTTCATTTTAAAGGTATTGCAATCTGAAACAACTTTAAAATGTTTCCACAAAATGTAGACGTGGTATATTTTTACTGCCTCTATCACATCCATAACTTTTAACTCGTAATTGAAATAACGTCTTTCAGTGTCGTTAGTTTTACCGTTCATGTAACAACCAGGGTATAATTTAGAGTCTATGACAGATTTGTGTAATAAAACAGCGGCTATCCCGTCTGCATCAGCGTCTGTATGTATTTCGGTCTTACTATTAGGATTATAAATTGTTAACACTAGTTCTTGGCATAAAAGTGCTTCTAAGTGATTAAAGCAACTGAGCTCTTTTTCTTCAAATTTGAAAGACTGGTTGTTTTTTAGAAGATCACTAAGAGGTCTTGTTATTGATAAAAAGTGTGGTATGAATTTCCGAAAATAGCCACAAACACCCAAGAAACTCTGAACGTCCTTAGTACATTGAGGTTCTGGGAAGTTGGTAACTGCTTTGGGTTTGATAGGTGAAGGATTCAATTCACCATTTTTAATATGATGCCCTAGGAAATCAGTTTCACGTTTGAGGAATTAATATTTCTTAAAGTTAAATTTATGGCCGTATTCTGAAGCCACTTTAAACACACGTTGTAATTTATGTAAAACTTCGTATTCGTCTTTTCCCGATATGAACAGGTCGTCCATTTACATGATTAAGGTATTATCCTTCATTTAATCTTTAAAAACTGCATAAATATACCGTTGAAATACAACAGGACTCGTGGAAGGACCGAAAGGTATCTTTAAGAATTCGTAAACATAATTATGTGTCACAAATGCTGTGTATTTAGTACTATCTGGATGTACATAACAATGAAAAAAAAAGCATTTTCGAGATCAAGAGTAATAAATACGTTTGACTGTCAATTTATCAAGATCATCGTCCATCAAAGCAATAGGGAAAGAGTCTTTGACGATTTTTCTATTTAAACGCATATAATCAATATATTGTCTGTAATCGCCATTCTTTTTTTTTTTCACTAAAACTATGGGAGAAGAAAACGGACTATTTATATTTTCTTTAATTATTCCTGCATTTAACCAATTCTTTATTTGTGAATCTGCAAATAATTTTTCATTTGCCGCTAATTCTCTGGTTTTTGAGTGAATAGGTGACTCATCGATTGGAACAAATTTCGTCGATTAGAACGTCAGTAATTTTTCTTTTCAGTGGCTTATAAGTATCTAACATTTGTTTTAGATTTTGTTTTATTCCCTGATTGCTAATGTGACTCAAATCCACTTCATTCAAATTTATTGCATTCGCTAGATTAAAAAAAAATTTTCAATGTGTTCAACATCTGCTATTTTTTTTTACCATTTTCAAGAATTTTGCGCGCAGACATCGCACTTGGCTTTACAGTAACAACAGTCTGTACTTTGACCTCATTTTTTGCGTTCGCCTCGGAAGCAACATCAGGTGTCAGTCGGAATGTTGACGTAATGTGTTTTATGTTATTAGGCAAGGTTTTGCAGTTGGGAATTCGATTGAAATTAATTGTTGCAGAACTGGCATGAAAGTATTTCTTTTCCCCGCGTTTTCATTTATAGCAATATTTAATTTGCTACTTACATCAAGGCCAATAATAACATCATAAAATTATTTTTTAAACTACATAAGTTTCCGTTGCTAAACTGCATTTATCAAATTTAAAGTCAGAATGATGAAAGACGTTCGCCACTGATCCAGCTAAACATACATTATTAAAAGATAGTTTTGGGGATCCAATTTTTCATAACTTTCATAACTTATCATTGATAATTCGGTGCCTATATCGAGTAAAGAAAGCATTGATTATAACACCTTGAATCTCAACATATTCTTCTATTTTTTTAGGAAAGGTATTACTTCTAGCGACTAAAGTCTGATTTACTTCTGATTGGTAACAAAATTTAGCTATATGCCAAAATTTAGAACATTTCAACCTTTCTTCCTTAATATTATGCTCAGAGGATTTATGACCTTAAAATTTACAATTGAAATATTTTATTTTTGAATTATTTTCACTTTTGTTACCACAATACTTATTTTTTGGTTTAAAACCAATAGTCGGAGCACGAACAATCAACGGCATTTTTCCGCGTTCTTTAACAAATTGTATTTTTTTCTGTGTATTATCGTGAATTCTTCTGTTTGCTTCTCTTCTGAAAATTACTTCGCACAATTTCATAACTGTGCAATTTTTGTACTAAAACGTCGATACTTGTTATTTTAGATAATTCATTTATAAGATGCTCGCGTATGTCTGGAGGTATTTTTTTCCTTTAACTGGTCTGAAATCAAAAAGTTGTTTTAATTCTTTAAAAGTTTGAATATTTAGGCCGGTTATCCATTCATCAAAATAATTTTGGAGTTCAAATGCAAAATCACGCCAAGAGGCAGAGGATTCCTTTCTGTGTACAAAACTTTTTAAACTAAATTGCTCAGGACTCAATTTAAATCGTTTCAAAAACTATTTCTTAACATGAGTGTAGTCGTTGGCTTGCGGATCAGGTTCGCATGCCCCAATATTTACTACCTCCAAAGTAAGTAAAGGTAATAAATGTGTTACCCAATCATCATTAGGAATATCAATTCGGATTATCTGTCTCTCAAATAATGATAGGTAAACACTTATATCGCTGCCAACATCAAAACGTGACATTAACTTCATTAGATTTAGTTTAGGTACATTTCCGTCTGAAATTGTAGCTTTTGATTCTAATTCTAATTTTTTAAGTTAGTATTCCCTTTTTTCAAGCTCCTCTTTCCTTTTTTCCAGCCGTACATTAGTAATGACTTCTAAACAGTCATTTGTGAATTCTTCGTCATAATTTGTATCTTTAGTAATTAACTTAAGTAATTTAACTACTAAAGATACAAATTAATTTAAGTAATTTAGCATTTGGTTCTACAGTTAGTCCTAATTCTTCTGCTAAAGTTGTTAAATCGACCTTTCGTGCTCTCGAAAGAAATGACATTTTGTAACAAAGGAAAATAAAATAGAATATTTGAAACAGAATTTTTTCGTCCATAAAAGAAAGTTCCGCTAAGGGTATCCACAGTATTTCAAAGTCATAGATCACACTCAAAGCCAATTGAACAGTTCTTTTAAATAGTCATTTCGTCACTAAACTAAACATTTAAGTTTGATTCGTTTAGGTAAGGCCGAGCCTCCATTTGTGGTGTGTGTATAGATTCAAAGTACATACTACTTAATACCCACACACAGAGTTAATTTTCTAAATGAGGACAGAATATTAAAAAACAAAACAAATTAATTAAATTCGCATAATCATAGATATAACGTCCAGCACAATTTCCCTGAACCGTCTTGTTCAGCGTCTCGCTCCCTCTCCATCTCTTCTGGCTCTTCTGAATCTCTCTCGAAGCGCTAGGCGGCGCTCTGGGAGCATCATGGCAGTCTTCCGATATGGTAGATCGGAAGATCTTAGATCCCATATATATATATATATATATATATATATATATATATATATAATGCTTTGACCTATAACATATATAATGCTGTATATTTGACGAAGAACGAAAGCCAGAGATTCGAAGGGAATCATATACTGCCCTAGTTCTGACCTTAAACTATGACAGCCAGCGATGTGGCTGTGTTTCAGAAACGACGCGCCGGACAACTTCCAGGAAACCAGAGTTTTTCGGTTTCTGGGGAAAATATGGTTGCAAAGCTGAAACAAAGGAATTGACAAAAGGGCATCATTAGGGTCGGATCCTGCGGCTCAAATGGATTCAAATGGCAAATTCTCCTGGTCCGGACAAGCAAGGATTGACAGATTAAAAGCTTCTCCTTGATTCTGTGGGTGGTGTTGCAGGGCCATTTGTAGTTCGCAGGCATGGCTTGTATGGTTAATTCCAATAATGAACGAGAATCTATCCTATTAAATAAATAGGACAGAGCTGTGTGTAGCCACTTTTTACTTTGAGGGAAATTCGGTTTCTACGAGAAAGAGTAAAAATAGGTCTGGGGTGACCTTAGACATCTGGGGTCGCAGGCACGATACATTGAATCAATCAGCGTGTGTTTTCACTGGCCGAGAGGTCCAGGCAACCCTTTCAAAATCCTTCATGCTGATGATAGGGGAATGTAACTTGGCCAAGAACCTAAAAACGGGTGTCCCACAGGAAGCCGTAAGTAGTTGTTCCCTTTTTAACATATATATTAATGATTTTATTCTTAAAATAAGGGATACTCAAGGATTCAAATTCCCTTTTATACGGCGATGATCTGGTTTTCTGGACTGTTTCTGAAAAGGTAAGCGCAAGAACTTGTATAGAGACTAAACTATCTGCTGCTTTGAATGCTATGAAGGATTAGTGTGATACTAATAATATGGAGGCAAACTTAAATAAATCATACTGTCTGGCATTTTCAATTATATATCAATCTTTGGATATTCAACTTGAGTGAGTGAGTGTGAATGTAAAGTTTATTGGCGCAAGAGCCAGATATGGCTATGCTGCGCCAAACAAGATTAAACTGTGGTCTAGACGTGAAGTTGAAAAAAAAGGTAAAAATGGTTAACAAGAAAGAGGGTCGAAAATAGAGAAGGATCGCTAGGGTATCCCGGGATATTCAACTTGAGTATAAGGGCACTCGAAACCCTACTTGTGGTAATTTTAAATATCTGGTAATAATGTTTGATCACCAACTAATATAGAAACCCCATGAGGAGGACATTACCAACCGTACCATGAAGAGGTTAAGTGCCTTAAAACGACTTGAACGGGACAAAGTTAGGGTGTACTAGAATAATTGTACTTCAAACCTACCACGCCTTTATTCACTCCCTTTTGATTTATTCCTTTGAACCACTTGTTGTGGCCGGAAAAAATATACTCGAACCCTGGAAATGATCCAAAATGAGACTCTACTTATTTTTACTGGAGCTGTAAAGACCACCCAATAGATGCCATGCTTTTTTTGACTGGTCATTGACCACTTAGATCTGTGAATCAAGAGAAAACCATTATTATCTGGGAAAAGATCAATAGAGTACCTGGATGTTTTTCACTTTAGAACGGGATCAGTCCGGACTTGACCAGAAATCAGAAGACTCAAATTCGCTTCCTTCAGGGAGTCCTTTAATTAAAAACTGCTCTCGGCTTAATTTTTGAACCTGAACTCCTCGTTCCACCACAGAATCCAATAAAATTGAGAGCCACCTGGATTAATCTTGACTTCTATCAAAGGGTTCATAAAAGTAAAACAGATTCTTTCATCTTAAGATCCTTGAGCCTTGAAGTATTTAACAGCAACTATCCCGTATTTTTACTGATGGGTTTCTCTCGGACAATTGCTTTAACGCATATGCTCTCTGGAGTATCTTCCGAAATATTTTCTTTCTAAATTCCTATTTGGAGTGGTACAATATTTGACGGAGAAATTCCTGCGATTCGTACAGCCCTATTCCGTTACACTGCCAATTGAATAAGTTTACAAGAGCTGTTGTCCTATGCGAATCAAAGGCTGCGCTGCTGGCCATCGAATCTGATGAACATCCCTTAAACGCAGGAAGTTTTGACTGTCGTTGTCTCCTAGAAAAACTGGCTTCTATTGAGAAAACTATTGTGTTCCAGTGGGTTTCTGCCCATTGAGGGATCCTAAGTAACGGAACAGTGGACTATCTATCTAAGAGGGTGATTTGATTAAGCAGAATGTTTCTCGTCCTTTGTCTCTCTGTACAATTAAAAACCTTTTTAAAAAATCTATCAAAGCCCATGCTCAGGAGGAACTTTCCAATCGTATATCTCACAAGACCTGGAAGAATGCTGCATCAAATTTAAGTAATGGTCCAAGACATAGAGGATCGCTGAATTCCATCTAGGCACCGGGCATATGATTGCTTACGGAAAAATATTTTTAGGCTCAAAATTGCTCCTTTTCCGGCTTGAACTTTGTGCAGCTCTGGTGAAGATATGGACTCCACTCATCTGCTCCACTGCTCTGCGTTTCGAAAATATTTTCTTTCTTAACGTTACTGAACATGCTAGAGACATGTTAGATTAATGAACTTTGTTTATTGTTCCTATTTTGTGTTTTGTTTCCTTATAATTGTGTGTGTTTATTTTTGTTGCTGTAAATATTTAGAATCTGCCATTGGGAATGAAACACACACACACACACACACATATATATAT